ATATATATATATACATGTATATAATATAGAAACCAGAATGTTATATTCATATTATTTAAATAATAAAGTATAGATATATATTGCTATAATTGGTTTTTTGATATTACACAATAGTTTAAATAAGCTTTATTTATCTATAGATAAAATGCTGAAATTGCATATTATGTAATATTATGAATACTATATTTTATTTTTTGTAAAAATATTATACTTTCAGATGAAATGTATGGCAACACTAATATCTTGAATACTAAAGTAGAAGACAAGAGGAAGTAATTTTACGAATGAAAATAATATTAGATTTTTGATGTCATTAACAATTTTGTTTTATATCTATTTGCTTAACAAATAATAAAATATGACACAACCGACACATCATAATTGAATATACAGTAAATATTTCTATTTCTAAACGTATATACAGTATAAATATAAACTTTTTTAATATAGAAGTTTAGGCCAATATTTTTCAATAATAATAATTCAATAGTTAGTGATTTTAGTATTAAGACAAATCGCTAAATAAATTCAATGGGATTTAAAACGATTTTTGAAGGTTTTTTTAAAAAAGAAATTTAAAAGTCATTATTCATAGTATTTTAAATATTACAGTAAGTAGTATAATAAATAATTATAAAATTGTATATTTTCATCTAAATTAAAATAAAATTATTGTAATGATTATAATTTTTATATATTGGTTAAAATTTATATCTAATTATTTAATACCCTCTGCAATTTTTAAATATTTAATTATATATATACAGTAATTGTAAATATAAATATTGTTATATGAATCCATAATCATTTTTAAATAATGTATATGACATATATGCTTAATTATACGGTATATTCTATAATTGCATTATTTTAGTGTAATATATTATAAGCTGATCATTATTTATAAAATATAATCCAAAAATATATACAGCATATATTGATAGTTAATAAATAAATCACAAGTTTTTATTATGTTTTATACTATCTGTGATAGATTCACAATATTATTACAGCAAAAAAGTTTATTTTTAACAGAGATTAATGATTATATAGTATGAATAGTACTTGAACTACAAAAAACTCATTGAAAAGTGAACTAAACATTTTTTAGACACAGTTTTGATTTTTTCGACAATCAAAATATATCATTTCAACTAATTTTTACGTAGTTTTCTTAATAGAAACATAAAAATAATTTCAATGTTTTTGTTTGTAAAACTATGTTTTTATATCAATCCTTTGATTGATACAAATAATCTATTTTGTATTCAATGCTATTTAAAGCTTCAGTTTATCACTTTATTGAAGTCGTAATCTTTATATACTATACTTTTTACAGCTAACTGTCTAATGATCAGTTATAACACATATTATAGGGTCAATACCTATAATAAAGCAATAAAATGCTTTATTTATTTATAAAAGATAATAAATACTTATTGTTAATAAGTATAAACTTAATGAAAACACAGTACTCTACTATATAATACATTATACTTGTACTTCAATACAATTCAAAAATTTTAATAATATAATATTATAAAATAAAAACTTACCAGTATAAATTAGAAATAAACACTATATATATAATATAATTGCAATTTATATATTTATTTGGAGATAATCAATAAGTCCGTTATATTATTATTATTATTTACTTTTTTATTTATTTTGTTGAACAAGTATACTTTATTTTATATGTTACTTTTAACATTGTTTATTTAATAATTAATTATTAACATTGACATATAAACTTATAAACTATTTATTTTATAAATACTATAATTTTGTCAGTTTGTACTTATTAACAAAATTAATTAAAATCAAAAAATTATTAAAGATTTTGTAGTAAAACCCGAAATAAATAATATTATATATTATTATATAAATATTTCATGTATTATTCAAAATAAACAATAAAATAGTATCGTTAAGAATCAATATTTAAGTTTCATTAGTCATAGTCATTGATTCATACATTGAATGCATACTATGAATCCAATAACATAGTAATAGTACTGCAAATACTGTAGTTATGATCACTAACTATAGGCTACTAAAGTCTGTTAAAACTTTTAACTGACAAACAAATGAGTCGAAACCGGTTTTACTACAACTTTCACAAATCAATGATATGTAGAGACTCTCTCTCTCTCTCTCTCTCTCTCTCTCTCTCTCTCTCTCTCTCTCTCTCTCTCTCTCTTTCTCTCTCTCTCTCTCTTAAAAGAGTAAATAAAGTACTTACACGTGCTTTCTATTTATGTCATCATTTAAAGTAAATTTAGTTTTTTAAACAGTAGTTAAGTTATCTGAAAGTGATAGTCAATCTATTGGACGTAAAAAACTGTTGAAAAAACTTTCAATTATTACATAATAAGACAAAATCAACACAAAAGAAAAATATAGAATTAATTCAATGATCACAACTATTCTCTCTCTCTCTCTCTCTCTCTCTCTCTCTCTCTCTCTTTCCATTTAATGCCATTCCATTACAATAAGATAATGTCAACATTTTATATAATAATAATAAGTTGGTTCATAAGTAACATTAAAATAAATTGTAATATTTACTGTATTATACTGTACGCAATACATACATACTGTTAATATATTACTTTATTAAAACTATTGCTGTATAAAACAATTAGACATATATAATATTTTGATTTTGTTATGTTATAGAAAATATTAATGTTGTAAGTGACTAATAATAGAATTGTACTAGTTAATTACCTATTTAAAAATCTAACTGAATATTCAATTTTTTAAAAATAAAATAAAAATGCAAATCATGGGACCAAATGTTTTATGTCTATAATCCATATAATTTCTGATTTGGATATAATTATAATTAATTTCACCTAACTTTAACTTTTTTAATTTTAATTATAAATTAAAATTTTGATTTGGACTCTTTGTTTATATTAATTAAATTTTAATTTTAATAATCTTTAAATAAATATTTAACTTAAAAACATAATTTAACATTAAAGGCAATTCACATATTACGTTCGCACTTTTTAAGAAATCTAGACCCCTTCCCTCCCCTATGTTTACAATTGTTCGCATGTAGTCACTTAAACAAAGTTGGCATATCCCTAAGCGCTAACCCCCCCTCCCCACCACTAAGAAGTAGAATCCCTAAATGTGAACGTTCTTACAATCTCTACCCCTCCTCTAAAGTGCAACGTAATATGTGTACCACCCCTTACTAGTCAATATAAATTGAATATTAAACATCTATCTTGAAGTTTATGGATTTAATAGTCTAAGATAACCAAAAAAAAACGTATGAAAAAATAATTTAAATAAACTTAAAAACTTATTCAAATTAAACAAGTTTTTTATAGAAACATAATTCAAAGCATAATATTATTTTAAAGTAAAAATATCAAACAAAAGCTTAAAATAAATAAAAATTTATTTCCAAATCTTTTGTATAGTCTATGATTCATAGTATTTCACATTTAATGTAAAAAATAAAATTGTTTTACTTTTTAGTTCAAAATTGTTTTGTAATTTGATTATGATTTGGGATATCCTTTCAAATATTGGCGTAATATTAGTCTAAATATAAAATAAAAACGTTTTGTAAGACACCAGATATCAAAATGTTTTGATAATTAAGTTTCATATAAATGCCTGTACTATGAAACGCTAATTTTAATAATTTTATCAAAGAACTAGTAATTTGAAGGATATTTTTAAATTTGTTATTATTTAAAATATGTAATAATTGTAATTAATATATTTTTTGAATTTTATTTATTTTAAAAACATATATTTTACATCATATTATCTAAATTTAATAAATTAGTACTATATTATTAATAATTATATTAAGTAAATTAGTTGTATTAATTTATATGATTAAAATTAGATCTTAAGTTGTAGAGTATTGTAATAATAATATTAAATGTAATAAATTTATTTTAAATAAGGTGTAATAAAAGGAGGTGTGATATCATGTGTTATTTAACATAAATATTTCAAATATTATTAAAAGATTTAAATAATTATATTTATCAATACTCTAATTATATCTCTGATATATTTGTTAAAAAATGATAGGAATTGTCAATTATTTCAAAATGATTTTAATATTATTAATGCATTTTATAATAATAATTTATTATAATTTATTCAATAAAATATGAAAATAAAAACAAAAATACAGAATTTATTAATTAAACATCAAATAATATAAAAATTATTTTTCGTTTTTAATTAAAAAGACATAATTTTTCGATATAATTTTAATTTTTAAGTTATTGATTTGTAAAAAAAATTAATAAAAAATCTAAATTTTCAAAATTTTCTGTAAACGAGTTCATGACCATAGATTATTAAAATTATATCAAATATATAATATTCAAATATATATTATTAAATATTACAAATTGTAATACATGTTTAATGCATAACTCAACACAAGCTGAAAACAATAAAAAATATCTAAAATAAAATATTAAAAATATAGTTGTTTTTAGTAAAAAATATTATTAATATTATTATCACATAAATTATTTAGTAATAGAATAATTAGGTAATCGAAAACTAAATCCAAATCATTAGAAAAAAATTAGTTTATAAAAAATTTCTAAATATATATTTCAAATAATTGGTTAAATTGTATTGAGTTTAAGCAAATATTTAAAAATGTGATGAAAATTAGAAAAATAGTTTATAGACTTAATTAATTTGAAAAAACTTTTTTATTTTAATGTAAAATTTTTTAACAGATTACCAAAACATATAAGAAATAAACAAAATTTTAATAAATATTAAAATAAAATGACTGTTTCATAATTAATGTATTTAAAACTTAAATTTTTTATTGTAACTAAATGACATACATGTATATTGAAATATTTAATTTCATGACAATTACATGAATAAAGTTATTATTATTATTATTATTGTTATTATTATATTAATTTATGAAATAAATTATATATAACTATAGAATATATTATTTTTAAACAAATATTAGGCAAAAATAAAAATAAATTATATATTTTAAGCAATGTTTATCATTGTCTTAGATTATGTGCTTATTATGTGCAAATCATTTGGTCAACTGTTGTCTACCAGAGCTGTATTTCTGTGTATTAATTTGTGAAACGGGTTCATTCAAAGCGCTCTGATAGTCAAATTTAGTCCGTCCAAAGTCAACACCGTCTTCAGGCAAATCCAAAAGCTATTATAAAAATATTTACTTATTAATTGAAAAATTTATAACTAAAATTATAATGGATTACATAAATACATGTAATAATGTATATATCTATAGCTAAAGAAAAATATTTAAACATTGACTAAATGACTACAATAATAATGTTTATACATTATGTTCGACAACTAAATTGTTTACATTTAATTAAATTGCACAACAATTTGCTATTTTATTAAATTCTATACTAAATCTTCTACTCTTAAAATCAATTATTTGTATAGTATTTTTAGAAATTATATTATATTATATATAAGTAAATAGTAAAGATATACTATACTATACTGTACTTACTTAGTGAAATTAGAAAGTTTAGTAAATATACTAAAAAGCATTTATAAACTTTTATTTTTTAATTTATAACAATATTTTATTATTTTTAACTACTTAAGTATCAGTATAAAGTTTAAGTACTAGTGCGCAAAATAACTAATAAAATTATTTAAAATTTAAAGTAGAAATAAACATAAGTAAAAAAAAGTTTTTATAAAGTACCGGTAAATATATTGAAATAAAAATAATAAAACAATGTGTATTACATTTGTCATATATAATATACTATAATAAACCATTTATTTGTTTTGTTACAATACTAATTTCAAATAATTATAAAATTAATTATACACTTTTACTAATTTAAAATAAAATACCATAATTATTAAAAACTAGTAATTTAATTAATGTTAAACATTATAATTATTGTTTATTATTTGTTTAATAAAATTTGTTTTATCAATAAATATAATAATTTATATAAAAATAAATAACATATAAATCTATAACTATAAGACATACCATACGAAGGACTTCCTTAATGCGTTCCCGTCTCGACTCATCACTTCTTGTGGGTAAATATCTTGCGGACGACATAGAGATTGTGGCCAAAACACAGACACCCATTAATGTCAATGCAATCACCGCTCTCTGAGTCGTCTGATTTGTTGAACCAAGTCTTGCCATTTCTGGTGCTATTAATTGTTGTATTGATTGTTATGAATAGATAAATAAAATTTTCTTATAGTTCTATATATTTAATCGACAAACTAATGTTAAATTATATTTGATATTCAATTTTGATATATATTTTATGGGATACACAAACACTATGTTTGAATCGGATCACAGTATGAAAGCTTTTGGCAAACTTATCTTAACTTTATAAATAAGGGGTTATATAAGCCAACTCTTTACGGCACTCATACTCCCGTTGACCGCGCATTTGCGTCATACCAGTGAACCCACATTATAGGCAAATATATTTTGGACAGTAATACACACACTCCGAAACAAAACATAATAGATTTACAAATGTAAAAATATTATACGGTTCGGTCAAATCGATTAAATCGATAATAAACTAAATCCGATTACAATTTTTTATTTTTTCACATTTCTATTATTAAAATTTATATAAATATATTGTATACATGAACATGCATTGTTTCAATTATATTATTTATATTTCTAAATATTAACTTATCTGTAATATTACAACTTATTTAAATATGATAAATACCAGGTATTTAAAATGTGATATAACATGTTACATTAGTTTAAAATTAAAAAAAAATCTAATATAATATAAAATTTAATAATTTATAAATACAGTATATATATATATTTTTATAAAACTTTAACAGACATATACAAAATCATTTTTTAAAAAATCAATCAAATAACTATTTATCGTATGAAACTTAAACTGAAATGAATTTTACAATTGCCAATACTATATCATAAAGTGTCATAGATTTTACAGTGAAAATGGGTTTTTAGTTTTATAAAATTAATTTTTAGTTTTAACTGATAGTACAATTATAAATGTTATAAATCGGTTTGGGTTTTACAAAATTGATGTAATGCTAAACTTTAGTCTATTTTGAATTACGAAAATATTGGACTATGTGTATGTAGAATGTACTGTACTATAATGCATTTTTATATAGATCATTTAGTTTTTATTTTGAACAAAAAAATTAAATCAATAAAATATTTTTTTTTTGGTATATTTACTGTACTACTGACTAAAATACTGTACCAGTGTAATAATTTTAAATATAAATAATTTATAATAGTAAGTATCAATAATGAGTAATAATAATAATAATAATAATACTGAATTTCAACTACTAATAAAATAATTGTAACAATAATTACAAAACATTTATAGTTTTATTTATTTTAGTGTAGTAATAGGCAATAAAATACTGTATTATACAATATATACACTAAAAATTCAATTCATGTGTATAGTTAGTGGCAATCATTTACTTTTAGGATTTAGACTGTATTTAGTTTAATGTCACACAAATATTTAACAACACTTGAACTTACTGTTAATTTATTATGAATAATTAGCTAATTAATTTTGTACAAACTATTTACAGTGAAAATAAATATGTGTTTCATTACTGTAAACACTAAAAAAGCAATTGACATCATTTGTTTTAAATTAAACAAATCATTAAGTGTAAGCTTATAGTGATAATAATAATGATGATATACCGTATACTTTAGATAATATAAATATATATTTTAAAATATATAAGACTTTAATTATAATTAGATTAATACTAAAAATGTTACAAATATATACAAAATATATGGATCAATAATTTATAATATTTTTTATTTACTTTCATTAATCCTATAAATAGTTTAGCACATATTTATAAATGTTATGATGTCATGTTTATCATGATTTTATGATAACATTGATTTATTATATAATCAAGTTAGTTATATTTGATCAGAAATACGATAGTTATCTCATAAATAGTATTCAACTTTCATAAATATATTTGTTTGACTAACATTTACAGTTGACATTAGGGTTAAGTACCAATTCCTTAATATATAGTATATTATATTTATCTTATTTTATTTAACTTCACTTTAGTATTTAGATGTTAATGATATTTAATGCTTTTAATTATAATTATGATTACTGTTTTAGGTTTTTATTTATTTTTAAAAATAAAAACATGTGTATTTTTAAATATGATAATTAAAATTAAACCGGTATTGTATATCATATACAGTATATGCATATATAATTTTTAAAAATAAATTGGTTTATATTACCATGTTTAAAAAAAAGTTTGCTTAAAGCTTTCACTTTGTGATTGCATAGATATATATACATTCAATTGAATTATATAGAGTATATATATATAAACATTTTGTTATTTAGTAAATGATAGTCAATATATAAGTTGATAATTGTTAGTTGAATCGTATAAATATATATTAATAGTTATAATTTTAAGTGATTTTATACATTAAAACAAATTTAAATACAACAGAAATGGCAAGACTTGGTTCAACAAATCAGACGACTCAGAGAGCGGTGATTGCATTGACATTAATGGGTGTCTGTGTTTTGGCCACAATCTCTATGTCGTCCGCAAGATATTTACCCACAAGAAGTGATGAGTCGAGACGGGAACGCATTAAGGAAGTCCTTCGTATGGTATGTCTTATAGTTATAGATTTATATGTTATTTATTTTTATATAAATTATTATATTTATTGATAAAACAAATTTTATTAAACAAATTTTAAACAATAATTTTAATATTTTAATTAATTCAAGTTTTTAAATTTTGACTAATTACATAGTAATTTTAAATTAATATAAATAAATAATTAGTCTTATTATGTTTATAAGTACTATAAAAAGTATAAAAATTTCAATTATAACATTAGTTGATATAATTTATAACAAAAAATAATAATTATTATTATTGTAATTAATATTTTTAGTAATAAGTGCTTGTAAAAAATTTTATACTTTAATATTCAAATATTCTAGATAAACAAATAAATACAGAAATATATAATACTTAAAAATTTTTAATAAATTTTTAGAATATACTCATGCATTTGTTTATTATTTATTTTTGTTTAATATAATTTCTGAAATAAATTTGTAAAGAATCTATTATTATAGTAATTTAATTAATGTAAATATTTTAGTTGAATAGTTCATGTAATTATTATTATAATAATTTAGTTAATGTTGTCTGACTAATTTATTATCTCCAAATATATGTTGTTAATTACAATTTGTATTAATTAAATGAATATTTTTAAATAGCTATTGGATTTACCCGATGATGACGGTGTCGACTATGGAATGACTGAATATGACTATCAAAGCGCTGACAGTCAACCAGTTTCTCAAATTAATACACAAAAATACAGCTCTGATAGAAAACAGTTAATCAAATTATAGATCATATATTCTAAGTCAATAATAATCATCTAAACTAAAATTTATTAATACATTTAATAAATTGTATATTTGACTAATATTTATTGAAAAATAATATATTTTATATATATTATAGAATTTTATAATTTATTTAATAAAATAATACTATTTGGATAAATATGATAAAATATAATATAAAATGTTTGTGTTTTTTAAATAAACATACAGTAACTTATAAAATTGTATTTCTTTAAACTCTTAAAGTTTTTTATAAATTTAATTGTTATATAACTAGTGTTGGCAAAAAATAGAAAATATTAAAGAAATTTCTAGAAAGTTTCTAAAAGAAATTTCTGTCTATGGGATGCGCATGTTAAATCTGTTATCTTAACATTTGTCTTTTTTGTAACAATACATTATAATCACAAATAATAACTAAATATTTGTATTAGTATTTTAATTAATATTCAACATAAAAAAAAATTTACATTAAACTAAAAATATAATTGAATGATAAAAATAATTTACAAAAACTATGATTATAATCATATATTAAGTTTATATTTAGAGATTCAATTCGTATAGTACAGTGTATCATGACTAGAGCATTTATTTCACATATAACTTATATTTTTAGTGATTAAAGATATTAATAAAATAATTAGATATATAAACAATTGATTGAAAACTAATAATTATAGCAAAAGTTTTAGTCACATAAACACATATAACAACATATTTTAAAAGGTAGTCACATATTATCAAATATAAGCACATATTTCGCATATTACTCTAAAATATTAGAAAATATTAGTTAAAATATATTTTTTCTTATGTTTTTCTAGTATATTTATTATTGTTTGCAATATTTTAAAATAAATAAGCATTTTATGTTTATGCAATGTATTATACATTATTACTATTTGTTAATTTTAGACAAATACTGTAACATAATATTTATATGTTTTCTAAATTCTACTAATTTCTAATGTCTACTAAAAGACAATAAGATTTTAATTTATACTAAGAGTTTAAAAGTTGTATAATTTTAATTTATGTATTTAAGTATTAATTAAAAAAAACTAAAATATTAATTTTTCATTAATTGTAACACAATTTTTAAATTCTTATTAAATATAATCACATATTTTGATTTTAAAGTAATTATAACCACATATTTTGACTATTTTAACAAAATATAATCACATATTTTCATGTTTATAAGCAAATATTTCATTCAATAAAACACAAATTTTAGTCACATATATCTAAAGTCACTAATCATGACTTTGTAATATAGTATTACAATAACTATAAATATATAGATCCCATAGTATACTAATAATGTAAAATTTCTATAAAAGTATATTTCTAAGAAATTTACTAGAAATATAATTTGCTTATCTCTTCAAATAACTAAACAATAAAATTAAGTCTAAAAATATTGAAAATGATTAATCTTTTGATAAAACTTTAATAAATTTAGTGTTTCATAGTTTAAACATTTTTATGAAATTTAATTATTACAACTTTTTGAGGTCAGTTGGTTGACAAAACTTTCATTTATATTATATTTTAATTTAGTTAAAGTTAAATCAAAATTAATTATAAACTTTATTAAATATTGTTATTTTATTTAATACAGTATATTTGTTGCCTAAGCGGCAAATTTTTACAACATTTGGCCACAAACTAATACATCTCTCTCTCTCTCTCTCTCTCTCTCTCTCTCTCTCTCTTTCTTTCTTTCTTTCTTTCTTTCTTTCTTTCTTTCTCTCAAAAATGCTTATAACTTATATTATTGAAATACATAAGAGATTAGTTGTCACAACAATAGATAAGTTATTTGTAAGTTTATTCACTTTATTATCTCTATTTCGTAATACATTCTGATAAATACTACAGAATAGAAATAGAGGACAAAATAGCGCTATTAATGTATTAATTGTACCGCAATTTGTAACAAAATGTGATAAATGTTTTCCGGTTACGCAACAAAATATAGAGAAAATTACAATTTTCAAATAAAATTTTATTTTTATTTTTAGACTTATATTACGCCAACATTTTGAAGGGTTATCCCAAGTAATAATCAAATTACAAAACAATTTCATTTTTGACATTTTATGTGAAATAATATAATACAAGAGATCTGCAAATAAATTGTTATTTATTTTATGCTTTTATTTAATATTTTAACTTTAAAATAATATTATATATTGTATTGTATTTCTTTTGACAAAACTCTTTTAAATTTTTATTAAAAGTTTATTTTTTGTTATCTTAAATAATGCGTAACTTAAACATTAACATAACTTTTTGATATTTAATTTATATTGAGTAGTGATGTTAAAATTTGTTACATTTATTTTTTAAAAATTAAATATATTAAAATATTAATAATAATAAATATTAATTTTTTCTTTACTAATATTAATAAATTATATATTTTACATGTTAATAAATTATTTTTTAGAATAGATTAAATATTTAATTATAATTTCTAAATATTAGCTAGTACATTTTCAAAATTTTTATTTATCTTTACAACCCTAATATTCACTAAACTGTGACAACGTTGAAAATGATGTGTTTAAATGCAGTGGTTTTATATCATATTAACAGTATTATACTGTATGTACTGTATGTGTACACTATAATAATAATAATTATTACGCTTTACTAAAATGAAATACTTATGAAATAACTTATTATTATTGTATAAAAATATCGATATTATTATCCCATTGTTAGGGAATGACATCAAATGAGTAGAGAATAGTAGTCATCCAAACAATTACCAGTTTTCTGCTTTGAATTTATAGTATAAATGTATAAATAAATGAATGAATTTATGAATCAATGACTAGCTTTTAGATTAAACTTAAATATTGATTCTTAATGATAGTATTTTATAGTATATTTTGAATAATACATAAAATATCAATATTATTATAATAATAATAATATCAATAATAATATCAATAATAATATCAATAATAATATCAATAATAATAATAATCATATTTTGCAAAACTTAATAATTGATATAATAATTTTTTTATTGTATTTAATTTTGATAATAATTATAAACTTACAAGATTACAATCTTTATAAAATAAATATTTTAAAAGATTAAATTGTTATACAGGTATGTGATATACAGTATTTATGTCAAGAATAAATTATTATTATTAAATAATCTCCAGTTTATTAAAAATAAAATTTATCGAAAATAAATTATAGTAATAGTATAGCAATTTTATTGATTAAATATATTAATTGCAATTTATCAAATATATATTAAGTGTTTTTTATTACACATTTCCTATTTACGTTAGAAGTTTTTATATTATTAAAAAAATTATCCATAACCTTAACTATTGATATTATGAATCTGTTTCTAATAGTTATGTTGTTGCGGATATCAATGATGACGTTATATTTTTTATATAATTTATATATAATATTATAAAAATCAATAAATATAATTAATTATAATAATAATTTAATAATACTTTTATTTTATATAAAATAATATAATCAATATGGCAAATATAGGTATTTTCAATATAAATTTCAACAAATACAAATAATAGAATTTTTTGGTTAATAAGTTTAAACATAGTTTTATAATGATTATCATTATAATTATTAAAAAATAATAAATACTTTAACTAACATTTTATTCAATAAAACAACATTTTTATTCCCTTTAATTGTGTTATAATAAAGTATATTATTTATTATGAAAATATATAATATTTTATTGTTTTTTATATACATTAGTGGTATACTATGTTAGAACTGGACATTAGACAGTTAGTTGTATACAAAACAGTATATCATATGTTTAAAGAGTACGACTTCAATAAAGTGATAAATTGTATCTTTAAATAACATTGAAAATAAAATAGATTATATTATCAACTTAAGTATTTATATCAATCAAAGAGTTGACATTAAAACATAGTTTTACATAAAAAACTTGATATTATTATTTTTATGTTATTATTTAGAAAACACTATCCATGAAACTAAAAAAAAACTTTTGTTGAAATGATAAACGTTTTTGATTTTTGTCGTAAAAACAAAATTATGTCTAAAAAATGTTTAGTTAACTACTCAATGGGTTTTTGTAATTCACAAAAGTATTCATAACATAAAATCATTAATCACTGTCACAAATAAGACTTTTTTATTGTAATAATATTGTGGATCTGTCATAGAGAGTATAAAATGTAGTAAAAAACTTGTGATTTATTTATTAACTATCAATATCTATATACTGTATATATAAAAATATAACTTTTGGATTATTTTTTATAATTAATGAAGATCCTGCTATATAAAAGTATGTATTATTAACTACATATATTTGTACATTAAATTACGTAATTTTTATTATTTTAATAATGATTATGTTGTCAACAAATTTTATTGTAAATAAATATAATATAAACTTATTAAACAAATAATTTTAAAAATAAATTATTTATAGACTATTTAATCAATACTATTAATACATTAGTATACTATAATAATTATGGATATAACTGTAAATATTTAATAAAAATATTGTAATGGATTATAAAATTATTAGATTAAAGATTGACCAGTATAATATAAACAAAATTTTATTATATTTTTATAAAATACAAATTAAAAATTTTAACTGTATTTACAAATAAAACATAAATATCATTTTATGTAAAAATTAAAAATTTTATCTAATACTCATTAGATGTCATCATATCTATAAAAAATTATTATTAAATACAGTAATTTTAAAAATATGATAATTTACATAATAATATTCAACTTTTAAAATACTGTATTTTATTTTTTTTAGATTCGGATATATTGTTGTTATTGAAAAAATATGACAATTCTTATACAGTATACTCATATAGTATTATATCATACATTGTGTACGCCATTCAATGGGCATATTATATAAAAATATTGTATTATTGATATTTAAAATTACTTTTATAATTAAAAAATTATTTCATACATTT